GGGAGAGGAAGGAGATGCTGACTTCAAGGGCCTCGAGAGGTGGCTGGCCAAGATCGCCTGAACAGAGAAGGGCAGGGCTGGAGGGAGAGACTTGGGGAGGCTGAGGGGCAGGACACTTGGGCACTGAAAGGAAAAAGATGGTCTGAAGTGCTCAAGTCTCATCTTGCTGTAGAAAGAAGAAACTTAAGCTGGAAATCAGCATTGTGGTATCCTCCTCTGCCACTTGTGGGCTTGGGAGCAACGTGACATAATTGCTGGTGCGATTTCCTCTGACTGTCTCTTCACACTGCAGCGTTTTTTTCCTCTCTCCTCTTCCTTTGTCTTCCTCTGGCGTGCTGACCCTTTGGGCTTCTGTGTTTCCTTACTCTTCAGGCTTTTCATTTGGTAGTTGCTGAGCAAATTAGGAAGGAGTGCGCTGCCAGGTGAGTTTAGAGATCAAGGTTTGTGTGTTGTCTTCTGCCTTCGTTTAGCATTGCAACTCTGTTACCTCTCAGAGCTACTGATCACCTCCTCATTCCGACTTCTTTCCCCAGCCTCGCTGCTTGGGAGCACTGTGCACATCACCTGCGCTGCCCGGCAAAGGGCACAGAGTCTCTCAGTTGGGTAGTCATTGAGGGAGAGTATAAAAAGCTCTTTTCCTCTGTGTCTCCTGCCTTCCCATTCCAAACTGGTGAAGTCCCATTTGTGTGGGACTGGAGTGGTCTATTAAATGCCAAAACCGGGCTGGCTGCTCTGCATTTGTCACTGTGCGCTGCCTGTGTCTGGCTGCGCTGCCTGTGTCTTTAGGTGATTTTTTTTGTTGTTGTTGTTTAACTGAGGGCTATGTCCGTGAAAGCTTGTTTCACTCTGCTTCTCCTTCCCATACTTCAGGCTCTTCTCCCGCAGGGATGTGTGCATACTCTCGAAGTGGCAGGGTTATAGTAGGGTCTTAGCTTGAAACTCAGGCAGATGTATTTTTAGATTCATACCTACATTATGTGTGAGATCTGGCATGATGGGCATTTGGTGTGCAGTCCCCTGTCTGTCTCCTGCTCCAGTGACTGCAGGAAGATCTTTTTTTTTGTGTGTAATTAGTCAGCGGTTGTAGCAGAGTGAGAGGGAAAGTCAAAGAGCTGCTAGCTCGTTAGTGCGATTCCTTCTTCTGAGGAAAGATGCTCAGTGAAGAGCAGAAAGAAATGTGAGATTTTCCCAGTTTGTTCTCATTTTTGTCTGTGGTGTTTAAAGCCAAAGTTGCTGCTGTGTGTGTGATCTCAACTGCTAGTCTTGCAGGGAAGATTCAGGAAGTGCCTGTCAGTGGTTCAGGAGCCGGCTTGGAGTGTTGGGGGCTCTGATTCAGCATGCTTCTGAACTGTCCAAGGGACATTTGCTCTTCTCCTTCCCCTGCTCTGGCCAGGAGCGTCGGATGTTCTCCAAAGGGAGATCTTCCAGCAGCATTGGTGTCGGTCAGGTGGGAGACAAGGTCCTGGTGCTGTGCTGGGCGTTCAGCATCCCGTTCCTGAACAGCCTTAAAACACAGTCGCCCTGCCCCGCAGCTTCATACAGCTTTGTGCTCTGGTGGGGTGTCATTTCTGTCCAGCACCTGCGTGTGGATGATTGCTCTCCACGCTGCATATTGCGAGGTCCTACGGCATTGAAATTTTTCCTTTTTCTTCGTTGCTTCCCCTTTTGTTTTAGGGTAGGAGGGAGTGGCTGGCTCCTGGTAGACCTTTTTTGTCCCTTGCAGACTCCTCTCCTCTCTGGTTTGATGCTTCCTTCATCACTCAGCCGATCTGTTGTCTTCTTTTCCTTTCTGTCTGGGGCATTCTCTGCCTTCCTGTAGCGTTGCCAAGTGTTAGTAGTGGTGGGAAGAGCAAGATCAGTCTTCAGCGGAGACCTGCGCTTGTAAAGAAGCTAGGCTTTGCATTTCTAGTCTTGTGAACCTGGTGGCTCTTCCAGTATCCATGCAGGAGGTAGGGAGGGTTATATTTATGAAATATGTTGCATTCATATGTTTCTTGCAGCCAGAGTATTGTTGGAACATGTTTGTCATGCTTTGAACTCCTTTAGTTGGAGATCCTTCCTAGGCTGCCTGCTTTGAATCGGTAATGCTGAAATGAGAATATTGCTGTTTCTTTGGGTGGTTACTCTGCTTGCGAAGACCTGTCTCCTTGAAAAGCAGAGGGCAAGCAGCAGCTTCTGCTGGGGTAATGGGGGGAAGATAGCATGAGACCATGGTTGGTTTTAAGTTATTCTTATTAAAAGTGTTCCTTAAATAATTTTTTTTTTGCTTAAAAATGTTGTCTTGCTAAAGCCTTGCTTTAGCCTGTCTGTATTTGCCTTGACTCTCCTCAGCGGTGTTAGATCCACAATGGACTGGAGCTTTGCTTCTGCTCAACACGATGTTGGAGATCAACCTTCCTGCCTGGTGGCCAGGTCCATGTTGTGAAAAAAAAAACAATGTCTTTGCCACACGCAGGGCTTTGAGGTTGGTTTGTTGGGTTTTTTTGGGTGCTTATTACTCCTTCATTTGAATGGTAAGATACTCATCACATAGCAGAAAAAAAAACCAAGCCACTGACCAAAAATCTCACTAAAAAGAGCACTTTGCTCAAGTGCCCAGGAAAACTCAAGCCAGCTGCAGTGCGCTGCGCACAGCTGTTGTGGTTTGAGTACCAGAGCACTTGCCCTGCTCTGTGGCCGGGGTGGCTACAGCACCCTGCAGCTTCACAGCGGGATGGAGACCTTCCTCAGCTTTGGGGCTGCAGGGCTCGTGGGCGGCTGTACGGCAGCGCGGCTGACGTGCGTTGGGCTGTTGCAGAGCTGCATGTGGTTTTTGGGCCATGTTCCGTGACTGGCCTGTTAAATATTTGGGGCTGTTTTTCCCCAGTGGCTGAGGGAAAAGGACAGAACCGGAAACTCTTAATGTTGGGGTTTTTTGTTTTGTTACGGTTTCCCCCCTGCCCCAGTCAGCTTTGTTTTTTGCTCTTACAAACTTTGCTCCCAGCCTGTGGCTTTGTGCTGGCTGGGCAAGTTGCTCCTCAGGCTGCAGCTTGGCCGCCAGTGTGTTTAGATGGCTTTGGGCAAGACAGCGGGATGTGATAAACTCGGTCCCTTCTGCTCCAGCTGCCTGACCCAGAGTCAGTCACCCTGCTGCATTTACACATCTGCAGAGACTGAGGCTTTCACTGTATTTCAAAGCTCTTTTGATCGATTTTTTTTTTTGCTCTGGGTTGTGCTTTGCCTGTGAATTGTTCCACTGGAAAGGAAGGGTGCTTTTGGAGGGGATCGGCAAGCACAGTGAGATCCAGGATTGCAGAAACCACATGAAAGTAGAGGAGAGATTGCTGAAAGGCAAAGAAAAGCAAAAATAGCACGATGCCCGAACATTGACATCCCAGTGGAGGTGGTTTCCAAGGCTCCCAAAAGTGGGTTGTTGCAACCATGACCTATTTGCTAGCCCCAGCTACCTTGGCACCTTTGGGGCCAGGAGCTTCTATGTTGGCCCCATTTGGGCCACCTCGTATGCTTTCGCTGGCCGGGACCTCCTGGGCCTCGCCGAGGAAATGAAGGTGGGAAAAACAGAGTTAAGGAAGATCATGTGGGTGTTAAGGGAAGACCTCCCAGGTGGAGAAGGGAATAGGAATAGCATGGACAGACCTCATTTTCATAAAGACTTGCTGATCCAGAGCAAATCCACGGCAGCTCCCCTCCTGTCCTCTTCCCTACTCTCCTTTCCCTGTACTCCCTCTGTGAGCGTGGATGCAGCGGGGCCCTTGGCCAAGAGCACAGTGAAGAAAAAAGTTGTGCCTCGCCCTGCACAGTGACGTGGTAAGGACAGCAGAGCCTGAATAGATTTACCCAAGAAAACTCTTCTGCTCCCCTTCTGTCCCTCCCCATCCCATCCAGGTCCTCTCTTAGTCTTTGATGCTGCCCAGGAGAGGATATGGCCACAATGTAAGGGAGGAGGAGGAAGGTCTGATGGCCCTGACTGGCCCACACTCCTTGCCCATGGGCCCAGGAGCCCCATCTCAGCTCAGCCCTGGCCCTTCAGTCCCTTCCTGAGCTACATCGTAGGTGTAGCAATCTCCAGCTTGGCCATGGCCATGTTTGCACCTGGCCACGGACACCTTGCTGATCCTGGCCCACTAACTGACTGTCCAGTCTCCTCGGCTCTCTCTTCCCTGGGGACAGGATTGCTGCATCTGCCATGGTCCTCTACGGGTGGCAAATGTGCTTCAGCAGCCGCCTCTCCTCCAGGAGCCATGAAGAGATGTGACCTTCTCAGATCTAGTGTGGGCACCTCGAGCCCTTTGCTCTTTTAGCAGCAGCGGCTCAGCGAGATGGATGGTGTGTCCTTTGCACGGCGCCAGGTTCTTCAGATAAACTCATGAAGCAACTCCTGTAATACCAATCAAGCAGCACATTTGCTGTAACACCAGCAAAGCACCACAGTTGGAAAAGTGACCTTTATTTAAAAAAAAAAAAGAGCAACAAACCCCCCCAAATGTTCTGCAATAAACCCCTCGTGATAACTTTTCACAACACGTGTGCGGTGACCACGCTGACCTCTGCAAGGGGTGCGGGCAGCCGGGGGTACACAGGACAGCCCCACAGGGTTGGCAGCCATCTCCCTTGGTCCTGGCCCAGCCGGGAGGGCACGACCTGGCTGGAAACGTCACGCCGGAGAGGGACCATCGCCCACAGCAGGCACTTCTCTGGATATACGGGATGGGGCTGCGCTCCAGCCCTCATCTGCCTCCTGCTCCAGCTGATTGGGGGGGGCTGCCCTTTCCCTGAAGCAACGGGCACGGCACAGCTGGAGAGCCTGGGAGAAGACGGTCCCAGGATGGGCCTGGCATGGAGTATCCCTTGCCGGGAGCACAGCGGTGCCATGGGCTGCAGGAGAGGAGCTCAGAGCTGCTAAGGTGAAGTCGCTCCCTTAGGAGGAAAAACAAACCCAAAAAAGACAAAGTACTGGCAGTGGGTAGTGGGGGGGGGTGTGGAGTCAGTCCTCGGGTGGGCTACATCAGCCCCGCTGCCTTCTCCTGCACGTTGTACTCCTTGCTCCTCTTCACCTTCCAGCTGATGAGGGCGAGGAGGATGGTGCCCACCACCTTGTAGCCCACCTGCAGCCCCAGGTATCTGTTGGGAGAAGAGCAGGGAGATGCTGTGTCTGGAGGTGGCAGCTCCAGCTGGCACCAGGCTGAGCTGGGGACCATCCCTGTGGTCATCCCCACCGTGGGGAGGGGAACATGGGGAGGGACACTTGGCAGGGGTACCTGTTGCGGAGGAAGTCATTGTTGTAGTAGGCGCAGAACCGGCGCTGGGTGCACTGCTTCTGCCAGTAGATGCAGGAGGAGTCGATGAGGGCACCTGAGGGCACCGAACATGGCTGGAGCTGGCAGCCAGGCTTTGGAGAAGAGAGGATGGAGTCAGGCTGCCTGCCCTGCCCTGCCTGCGTGCTTTGCCCGCTGTCCCCAAGGAGGTTCAACACCTCCTGGGGCTCAAGCAAGCCTCCGAGCACCCTGCTGCCTTCCCCCAGCCTCATTCGGAGACGGACACTCACCCAGCAGCCTCATCAGTAAGAACTGGACTCCGATGGCAAACGACTTCTCGTCCTGGTTCACCACCCTGCAGGGGAGAAGTCACGGGCGGTCAGAGCCGCCGGTGCTGGCTCTGCATTCGGCCAAGCAGCTTGGCTTGGTTGCACGGTTAAGAGGCCCCCATTGATCCCAGCATGGAGAACCCATCACATCATCCTCCCAGTGCCTTGCGACACTTCCCCCCCCTTGCCCATTGCTCACCGTAAAACCATCATGTAGAGGGGGTTGTGGGACAGGCAGGCTACCAGGGCAGCAAAGGAGATGAGGAATACGGCAGGAAGGAGCATGTGGGAGCAGCTGAGCGGACAGGAGCATGTCTTGGCAGAGGACGGCCCGTTCCCAGTAAGGATCAGGGAACAGTTCTTGTAGCTCTGTTGGAAATGTTTGGGGAAAAAACCAAATGTAAAACTCCCAAAGCCAAGAACAGAGTTTTTTGCATCGCACCAGACCACATCACTTTGCAGAAGACTGATGAGCATGTCAGCTCCAATTTTTAAGGCACAGCCATGGCATCCTGCAATGGGATACCACTGCCCCCAGTTCTGCAAGCAGACTCCCAGGGTGTTATTGTCCACCACCGTACCTTCTCAGGACTTCAGCTCCTTTGGCAGACCTCCCTGCCTCTCGTGTCAAAAAGGCCCTACCCCGTTCTTGCATTTGTCAGGTTCCTACAACATCGCTGCAGCCTCCACCATCACCCACCAGCAAGGTGCACTCTGCTTTGCAAACCATTTGGTTTTTGTTTTTTTTTCCTACTCACCACTTGGTTGGGAGTGGAAGAATTAGCGGTGCTGTTTGTGCAGCCAGCGAAGCAGGGGGAGATGTACTCCACGTTGTTTTCTCCGCACACTGGGTGAAAGATGTGCTCAGAGCAGTGGCACCCACTCGGTGTCTTAACCTGCTGCTGGGAACTCAATGTACTGCCAAAAAGGAGGGGAAAAAAAATTTTTAAAAAATTAAGAAATAGGACAGAAGGAAGAAAAAAAAAATAGATCCTCTTGCTAGTTGACCAGTTTCCCCATCCCTATTTGTGCTGGGACACTGCCAGCAGCAGGCTGGCCTTCTGCCAGACCTTGATCCTCTGCAGGTACCGCTGCAAGCGTACAGTGACCTTAGCAGTAATTACGTTACGTCGGCAAACAAGTGCTCACACACTTACTTACTTTTTTTTTTTTTTTTTTCCCCCCCTCCTCAACTGAAAACTAATCCGCCAAATGCCTGGAGAGCTATAGCTGGGCTCCATCCAGAACTGCACAAACAGATGTGTGAACAGCCCTGGCTGGAAACACCCTTCAGACAGAAATCGCAAGCGGGCTCGTTTCCAGACGAAGCTGTCGACAGCGTGAAAGTCAAGAGGACAAACCAAAGTGTCTGTCCTGTCTTGCCTTGCTACCCCAGGGAGTTCATCTTGCTGGAACGGCACAGTCCGTCTCCTACGGGAAGCTGGCATCAGGGAGCTGCCCTTGGACATGGTGGGATGGGACAGAGCTCATCTTCTACTCATCCACGTAGCCCACAGCTACCAGGTGAAGGGCATTTATGCACTGCTGCCATGGCACGGCAGGGGACAGATTTCCAAAATTATATAAGGCAACAACCTCCTTTTCCATGCAATTCCCTCTGGCAGCACGTAGTTACATCAGCAAAGCCCATCAAGACTGGTGCGTCCCAGAGGAGCCAAAACAAGCAATCGACCTGACACCGGTGGCAAGAGGTGAACGCGGTGAGGCCAAAGCGCCTCCCAAAATTTAGCCCTTGCAGCACCTGAGGGATCTCCTCCCATCTGAAGCCTTGAAAGATCGAGATGCCGGTGCCTCGGTGGCCTTCCGTACGCTCCTGAAATCACGGTGCATGCCGTGCGGAGCTCAGAGCAAAATATAAACACGTCGCCCACGCATGAATTTGCAGAGAGCCGTTCCTTTCCTTCACCATGGTTATTTAAGTGGTTTGTAAGTGGAAGAAGCGTATGGCCTGCCCTGGTCCTCACCCCTCCTTCGTACCCGTGAAACAAGAGGCTTATTGCTGGCGAAGGGAAACATCTGTACGAAAGCCCCTTGCTGGCAGTGCGTTGGGAAATGAGGACGATGCACTTGACAGCAAGCCCGGGGTGGAGTCTAAATGTCATTTTTAGCTCCAAAAGACATGGTAAGAGCCAAAAGTTTCCACCCAGGTGAGGAGAAAGGTGATGTCCAGCTGGAACAAAGGGAGCGTGCGAGGTACCCGTGTGTGGGGTTGATGTGGACACAGGCACTAATACTGCTCATTTCCCCCTAGAAATCCGGAGTGAAAAATACGCCCTGCTTGTTTGGTACAGAAAATCAGGAATAAATGCCCTCCCAAGCTCTCTGTGCCGTATCGTGCTTAGATCTCCTCCAGGCAGTGGGATTAAGGAGCAAGAAGTAGCGTGGTGGTGTCTACTGCCTCTTCCCCTCCACCTGCACGTATCCCACCCCGTCGATAATCAGGTCGAGAGATGGAAGAACAAGGGGCTGGAAACAACCCAAGTGCCTGCGTTACCTGGGGGGGTAGATCCCATCGACGCGCCCTGTGGAGCAGCCCATGAAAAAAATGGGCAGGCAGATGAGGATGGAGAAAACGAGGACCACCACAGCAAACCGGGGGATGGCCCGGAGGGAGAAGGCAAAGCGTTTCATGATGATTCCTCCCAAAAGCATCCCGAGCGCTGCTGCTGGCAGGTTCACAGCTCCTGCAGAGGAATGGAAGCAGAGGAACAGAGTCATCGTCCCTGGAGGTGTTCAAAAAACATTTAGATGTGGTACTTCAAGACATTGTTTAATAGACATGGTGGCATCAGGTATACGGTTGGATTTGATGATCTTTGAGGTCTCTTCCAACCATAATGATTCTATGATTAGCTGGGGGTCCTGCCTGCCGAGCACCTCTCTGCGGGCAGGAGGCGGAGGTGGTGGCTTTGTGGACCTCGCGGTGGTTTGGGAGAAGCCACAGACCCCCACCGTTTCCCAAGGCCGACCAAAACTCAAGGCAGCTGGCACTTATGAGAAACCTCAGCCCGAGGAATCTGGCTTAGAGATGCAAGATCAAGCTTGGTGCATCATCGCTTGCTCTTTCCAACTTCTTTAAGCACCTGAGGGGTGATCCAGACCATGCGATCACCCATGTGGTGGGGCTGCACGTTTTTCAATGAAAGCGGTTTCTGGCCCACAAGAGCAAAAGAACAAACGGAGACAGTCTTTGAGAGGCTGCAAGACAGCCTGGCCTTCTGCAGGCATCTCAGGTCAGGAAAGTCATCATCAACCATCTCGAGGTGATCCTAAGGTCTCATCTGAACATGAGTTTCCAATGACTTCCTCCCGCAGGATTTTAAAAGCCTGGGGAATACGAGCAGGTCTTCCCTGCTGATGGATATTTTTTTACCCTACGGCTGCCGCTGTGCAGCTGTGCTCACCTATGAGAAAGTTGGCGTACGAGGAGGAGGCACCGTACTGCTTCTCCAAGAACTTGTTGAGGAAAGTGGCCAGACCCGCAATGACCGAGGAGAAGCTGCACTGAGCCAGCACCAGGAGGATGAAGAGGGGGTTGAGGAGCAGCCTGAGGAAGATCTTTGGGAATCCTACAGGGAAACAGCAGGAAAAATGTATTTTAGCCATGTGATCCTCATGTCAGCAATTTGTACTGTGGAAAAAAAAAAGCGCAACCCACCCTTAGACTGTTCCCAGTGACTTAATACAGGGGATGTCTAAGGCCATGGGACAATGGAAGGGGGGGACCCCCTAATTTGGCCCACCAGCTGGCAGGACCGTGGCCAAAATACCCTGAGAAGCGAGGTTGAGGGCCAGCTCTGCCCACTACCCTCCCTCCCACGCCTTCCCAAACTCAGAAGCCTCCGGAGCGCTTAGCAGCCACGGCGCACGTGTTTTTCTGGAGCTGGGCTCCAGTGCAAAGAGACCAAGCCACAGGGGTTTTGGCAGAGCTGGTCTGCCTCCAGCAGCTGAGGAACACGGTGTATTTTCCTGGTGGGACATCATGTCCCCCTGCCCTTGCAGCACAGGCAGACTGACCGCGGGCTCCTGAGGAGCAACTCTGTTTATTTGGTCTCTAATTAGCTTTTCCCTTCTAGCGGAGAGCGCCGCGGAGACGTGGCATTGTTCATCAAAGCCCAGTGGGATAGAGAAGAGGGAGCTGACAGCTCCAGGATACGACTGTGGTGGATGGAGAGGGAAGGAGGGAGGGTCTTTAGTTGGAAAGAAGTCATCATGGAGCTAAAAAAAGTCATTAAACTAGTCTCTCTCATCAGTGACATCCCTGCTCCAGCTCGTTTTAGCTACACATAAACAAACTGTAGTAAGCTCAGTGCAGTGACCTTCTCAAAGCAGCGGCTGGGCGGGTGGCGGCGGCCCCCGCGCCTCCACCTGTGGGTTAAACCACCCAGCGAGCGTTTTCCAGCATGCTCATGTCATTTTAAGATCCTCAGACCAGTTTTCAGAAACAATTCAGGCCCCGCAGACCTCAGCACCACCATCTTACAGCAAGAGGGAGGCTGTGCCCACCCTCCCGTGGTCCTTAGGGAAGGGCGTGCTACAGCCCTCGAGATGCACGAGCTGGCCCTGGCATCTCCACGCAACGTGGTGGACAGGCTCAAAGGCTCTGAACAAGCACCCTCAGCTTGAAAACCCCGGCGTGGGGATCTCCACCCACCCAGCATGGCCTGACAACCCCCAGTCACCCCCGTCTTTAAGCACCAGCCCTTTACTTTTTATAAACTCCAGGAGGGAAGTTTCTTCAGCCGCCCGCTTCTCCATCTTCCTGAGCATGCCAGCCTCCACGGTCAGGTCCTGGGGAGGGAGAGGAGAGCAGCCTGCGGTGAGCGGGGAGCATCCATGCGTGGCTGGCACCGTCCCGGCACACAACGATGCTCAGGAATAGCAGGATCCGTCCCAGATGCCTCTGACCCCCCCCAGCCAAGCCTGATGGTTTTCCTGCCTGTTACAGCAAAAAGGGGTGAATTAGCTCAAAAATCACTGCAGTCCTCGAGCAGAGCTGCAAGACAAAAGTTTGTCCTGCTAGGAGAGGTTCTAAGAACTTGGAGAGCTTTCCTCTCCTGAGCCCTGACAAGATACCTCTCTTTTTTTTTTTAATTCTGCAAAAAGTCTGGAAACGAAAGTTGGAGGAAGGTCAGTTCAAGTCTGGTGAGTCCTCTAGCTATAATCATGAAATATTTCGGGTTTCATTTTGACCTTTAAAGAACGGATGATTAAATAATTTCAAAACGAAATGAAACTAAACCAGTGGGGCTCGGCTTTGAAAACAACGAAATGACACATTTTAATATTTTTGCATCTTTTAAAATTTGCTTTAATGGGAAACTCGTCTCTTTTCCACAGTTTTTTCCCAAAGGAAAAGCCCATTTATCAAACCCTCCTGCCCTATCCCAGTGCTGCTCCCGTGTACCACACCAGAGGATGCTCTTGCTCTGAGCAGGGGCTGTCGCTGCTGCTGGCCTCAGGGGAGCATCACCTTGCAGAGGGTGTTGCAGTGGGGCGTTAAGATACAGCCACCACCAGCAGAACCGGGTCAGACTCCCCAGGCGGGTCGAGTCCCCACAAACAGACTCCTAGCCAAGGAGGACTACATGCAGGAACCCCAAGAAGCCACCCAGCCATCGCCCCACCCCAGGGAAGGCGCAGGTCTGCCCAAAACCTTCCCAGCGGATGCTGTTGATGCAGTTAGAGGGAAGGGCATGAGGTCTGGGTTTGGTCTGCTGAGCTGCGGTGGGTCTGGCTTTCCAGCTAACGGCGAGGAAGTGAAGGGTCTGGTCCTTCACGTCTTAGAGGCACGGGGCTTGTTTGGAAGACTTCACTGGTGAGAAGTTCTAACCACATCTGAGAAGGGTTGCTGGGCTCCTTTCCTCCCTCCCACCCCTCTCCTCCCTCTCCGAGTGCAGCCCTGGCACCAAAATGTTCTGGCCCTCCAGAGATGAGGTCTCACCTCTCCTTTCAGCATGTACCGAGGGAAAAAGAAATAGGGAATGGAGGTGAGCACCAAGCAGCCTGAGGAGATCAGCAGTCCCAGCCACCAGGCTCCAATCCACCGCTGGTCCTTCGGTGTCAGGGTCACTGTAGCTGCAAGACACAAGGACCCATCGTAAGAGCTCTGCTCCTGCACGTCTAAGGGCGAAAGGGGCAAACGTCCATGCAAATATGGACCGGTGGAGCACGAAGGGTCCATGTGGGCACAGTCCAAGGGTCTCTCTGCTGGCATGGAAAAGCAACTGGATGGAGGTGGAAGCTCCCATCCATGTTAGTAGCAAGACTAGCTCTGGTCGTGTCTGACCTCCTATACCCCAGCCAGGATCCTGCACTGCCACTCCCCATCCAAACTGCGCCGAGCCTCCCAGATGGCTGTAGGATGGATGTAGTCAGCATGGAAGTATGCTGATGGCACAGGTTCAACTCCCTCGGCGAGCCAGCCAGCAAGGCAGTGACTGCAGGGGCCCGACTCCATCTTCCTCTGCCTGGGGCGTACGGTGGGTTTGGACCACACTGCCTGCCAGGGATGCTGAGCCGAGACAGGGACCGGGAAAGGGCACAGCCGCTTTCCTGGAAAAAATTGCTCTCCCATTGTTCCAGGCTTGGTCAGTCTCTGCTTGCAGAGACCAAGGGAAGGACCCGTGCCGGCAGAAGAGCGCCGTTAATGAGCCTGGTTTCCGAGTGGATGAAACTGTGGGCGCCTTCTCCGGAAAAAGGAGGAGAAGGTGAGAGCCGCTCCGTCTCCAGCGCAGACATCCTTCAGCTGGGCCAAGCGATGCTCACGGGAGGTTGACAGATTGCTTGGCTTGGCATGGGGACCGCATCTCCCCATCGCCGGGATGCTGCAGCTGGGAAAGGAACCAGGAGCAGGCTCTGGGTGGGAGCCCCGTGCCAGGGTGCGGCAGGAGAGGAGCCCACGCCCCACCGAAACAATTGCCCTGCTTCTCCAAACAGGACCACTCCACTCCGGAGCTCGGACGTCATCATGGAGCGACCGGGCAGAGGCTGCAAAATCCGTCGGCCGCCATGGGGAGCGAGCCAAGGCTTTTTGCTGTTTCCTGCCCCAGGTTCATTTATTATTCTTATCAGGCACCGGACAAAAATGTCAGGCGAGCTCTGATCTCTCTAAGGAAACACAGGAAAAAAACCACATTAATGATGGAGCTGGGGAGAATTCTTGAGTGGTTAAGTTACCAGAAATAATAAGCACACACTGCAGATAAAATAAGCCCTGCGGTGGCCTTGGCTTGGTCCCTCTCTCTGAGATGCTAGTGAAGGGTTGTGGGGAGGAGGATGAGCAGACTCGAGCCTTCCTGTGTACTCATAGGGCAATGGTTGCCCCGTGGTGGTCTTCTCCATCCCTGGATGCTTCTGATGTCCCTGCTGCTCTCCACCACCGTGCTGGGGTAGTGTGATAGTTCCTCAGCGTGGTGGCAGTGGGCAGACCCCAGCGATGACCACCAGGGCTTCAGTGCAGCACCATGAGCAGGACATTGAAATGTCCCTATTGCAAGGCTCTGCTTCAGTGGTGGCTTCAGGACCACCTGTAGCCTTCCTCATGGGGAAATGGGGTGGAGAAATGTGCTGGGGGTGCAATCCCAGGTCAGGTCTTTCCAGGGGAGTGGATTTTGTCGGTCATGGTGGCCACCAGTCATCTCAGAGTGACCTTCTGACTCAGAGAAGGCTTTTCGGAGGAGCATCGCTACTTGAGAAATACTCACCAATGTCAACTCTTCCAATATCCACGAACAGCCGGAGCACCACAGATCCCAGCAAGTATCCGAAAGCAGGGCCGAACACGGCGATGGCAAAGAGGATGGCTAAAAAAGGGGAGCAGAGAGAGCCAGTGTGAGCAGGGAAGAGTAGCTTCAATGCAGATATGGCTTTTGTCTTCCCACCTGAGGCAGGAATGGTGTTACAAGATGCAGAGGGGAGAAACCATCTTTTATCAAGCAGCAGATGACGAGAAGTTCCCCATTACTCAGGTATTGAACATGGTGCTTGTCTAATGGGATTAGGATGAGGGCAGGCAGGCAGCTGCCTGCAGAAAAAGTCCCTCTGCTCTGCTGCAAGGAAGGCTTTGCCGATGAACTAAAAGTTATCAGCTACACCGTGAATGTCCACGATTCACTGTGACAAAGGGGGGAACCCTGGAGAGCAGCAGGATGGTGGCATCCTGGGCTCCTGCAGGTGATGGAGACCTTAACCTCCTACAGGAGGCCAAGGAAACAAAGCCATTTCAGTCCTTAGATCCAAGCAAAAAAACATTTGGTGCAAACTTCAGGGGAGGTGAAAGATGCTGAGAGCACAAAAGCTAACAGATCACCCGCAGTTCAGCTGAACCAGCCCATTCGAAAAATAGATAATTTGGACCTAACCCATAAGGTCAAAATGTTTCCTTTTGACTTCTTTGGAATGAAAGGCTTCAGGTTTCCTCCCTGAAAGAAACTCTTCGCACAATCTTCTTAAGATATTCAAAAGGAGACAGTTTGCTTGAACTGCATTGACCATTTCTGTGCATTTTGCTGGTCTGGAGCCTTTGGGCATGCTGGGTATGAAAGCGCCTGATCCCACTGCTATGTCTCAGCTGTCCGCCTATTTTAAAAGCTCTTTTTTTTTTTCCTTCCAATTAGCCAAGGCAGTGCTTTTTTTTCTACAACATAAACCTAAGTGTTGACGGGCAGGGTCTTTAGAGGAGGAGTATTTAACTTCATGTATAGACAGCAGTGTTCCCTTTCGTAAGAAGATGCTGAGACCTAAGCCAAAACAAGACTCACAGGGCAACGGTATTTATGTTGCATTGAGGCAATCCAGACTCACAATAGCCATACCCCTCCGACACGGATATTCCCGCAGCCCTAAAGCGACCACCTATATTATCAAGACCAAGCCAGTCCCATTTTCCTTCATCTTCAGGACCTGCAAGTTTGGAAATCCAAAGGGCACACAGAGGTCCTGGGAACAGTGACCCCCCCACCGCAGGGGGAAGACACGGATGCTCTGTCCCTCCTTTTGCCAGCCCAGACTACTGTGTTTGAGCTGAGAGGAGCGGGTACTACCCGCACGGGAGACTTTCCGCAGCCCTTTCCAGCAGGAGCCTGGAGCAACCCACGCCTGGCTGGGTCTGGAGACCCTGCCAAGCACACCCGTGCTTGTCCAAAGCCCGTCCTTGGGAGTCCAATTCCTAAGGCTTTCCTTCTCCTTTAGTGCTTACCTTATTTTGGAACATGATCAACCATGATCAACCGACGCTGAATAAGAGCAGGAGATGGCCTCTGAGAAGGTTTCCTTACTTCTCTTTCCCCCCATGGGTGGTGTAAGTTCTCACGGATGCAAGGGAGAGGTCCCAGCTCATCGATCTCATCTCCCTGCCCTGATTCTTTGGCTTCCTAACACCCACACCAGAAATATAACCCTACAGAGAACAGCTGACTATCAAGGGGAGAGATAGCCCAGCCTTTTAATGGGGGAGGATCTCATCTGAGCCCCACTGGCTGCTCAACCCATGTCCATAGGTTCCTCTCCAGATAAGCACCTCTCAGGTCTGGAGGAAACAAAACGATATATAGCAGTGGTCCCACTTACCAACGTAGAGCGGGGAATTGTTTGCTTCTGCAAAGTCGTCTACGTAGGATATCCCAAAGGGCTGGATGGGAACTGTCCCGATTCCAGCCAGCAGCTGGGCGATGACCATCATTGCCCATATGCTGCTGGCCTCCTTCTGGGGATCTTGGGTGGTGTTCGGGCACACAAACTTATTCTCTGCATAGCAGAGTTCAGCCTGGACCTGGCTTCTGTTACCTGAAAGGGAGAAGAGTGAGCGTTACAATGCTGGGCGTGTCCCCTGCATCCTCCCGCACTAAATCCCTAAATACCAGGAATCTCCCAAATTTGCTGAGCAGGCACACACTGTTGGGTTTGGGATGGATTTCTACACTTGTGAGCAAACAGACACAAAACAAAACCAAGTATTTGTCAGGTGATTAGGGGTTTTCATTGGCATAGTGTGGCAGCGCATTTTGGTGGCATCAGGTATACGGTTGGACTTGATGATCTTTGAGGTCTCTTCCAACCATAATGATTCTATGATTCGTAATATTAAGTCACCACAAAAATCCTTATGTAAGTCCATTTGAAGACACATTTTCTAAAGGGTCCACCTTGCAAGACAGAAGGAGACTCCTTTTCTAATAAATATTTTACCGCAGCAAAAGCGAGAGCCACAGAAGCCTCTTATGCCAGGTTGCATGCCGTGGAGTGAGACCACGCTCAGTTTAATGAGGGCAAACCTAACCCATGGCTGGCTTTTGGTTATCCATGGTCTTTGCTCCCTTGTGGTACGTGGGCAGGAAGAGGGAGTGATGCTCTCTGGGGTGACTTGTCTGCCCTGAGCACGACACCCTGAATCTCCGTTGCCCTCATTGCTCAGGAGAAGCCCACCTCCTCCTTTCCAAAGCAAGGACCTTCTCCATACCATCCGGACATGGGGAGGTCTTCACCCTGCTCAAGACTGCCATGCCAACTCCAACCAGGACTGGAGTATCTTCATGGGCCATAAATACCAGACCAAGACACATGTGGCTCCGGGCAGGGAGCAGGATGATACCTGCTCCTTTGACCTGTTTTTTTCACAGTAAGAGCAGCCCCTCTCCCAAATCCTGACCAGTTCATAGCCTGATGTATGAATCTACGCTGTCAAAAAACTTGGCATCTGATGCCTGATCCACTCTGCAAACCGGCCAGTTTGAAAAACATGGAGACATTTGAGGGTGCGTAGCAGGGGGGCAGCTGCAAGCCAGCCGAGAGCTGGCCTTCATATTTCTGCGTAGTGCTGGCACACTCTCAGCCCCACGCCGGGCCATCGTTTTTAATAACATTTCATGGGATCTGGGCTAGCAGATCAGCCGTGGCAGTTCCAGATTTCCCAGAGCTGATGGGGGAGAGCAAAGCCAGAGCATCTCTAACCCTTTGGTGGGAGCAGAGGTTGTCAGGCATCTGTGAGCAGCTCTGTCCTCACTGCGCTTTGCTCCCTGTCCAGGGTTTACATCCTGTTGAGCTGTGGCAAAGTCAGGGTCTAACTAAAGGGAGCGACTTGCCTAAGGCCAGTCAGCAACTCTCTGGCACAGCCACGGCTCCCCAAGCCGAGGATCGGGATAGGACGCAATGCATGGGGCTCAAAGCCTTTCCAGGAGAAAGCATCTTCTAACTAGAGGTGGTTGGCACTGCTGGGCTGGCACTGCTGCGGCCACTGCCATCCCCCTTGGTGGCACAGGCACCAGGGGAGCAACTCGGCACAGAGCCGAGCTGACTTAAGAGTTCCCAGAGGTGGCAATGCCCAAGGAGGCTAAGGCTCATCGGCATGTTGGAGCGAGTCCAGAGGAGGCCACGAGGATGATCCGAGGGCTGGAGCACCTCTGCTGTGAGGACAGGCTGAGAGAGTTGGGGTGGTTCAGCCTGGAGAAGAGGAGGCTTTGAGGTGACCTCATTGCAGCCTTCCAATACCTGAAGGGGGCTGATAAGAAAGATGGGGAGGGATGTTTTAGCAAGGACAAGGAGTAATGGTTTTAAACTAAAAGAAGGTAGATTTAGACTAGATATAGGAAAGAAATTTTTCACTGGCACAGGTTGCCCAGAGAGGTGGTAGATGCTCCATCCCTGGACACATTCCAGGCCAGGCTGGATGGGGCTCTGAGCAACCTCATCAAGTTGAAGATGTCCCTGCTGGTTGCAGCGGGGTTGGACTAGATGGCCTTTAAGGGTCCCTTCCAGCCCAAAGCATTCTGTGATGTTATAATTCTATGATCCCGGGGATTTAGGGGCTGAAGTCACTTTGGGAAGACCAAAGCCAGCCTTGTGGCACGTGATGCAGGCTCTTCTGTGTATTACATCCTGCACGGAAACTGGAGCTGTCGTTGTACACGCTAGCTTGTTCCCAAAGCTTGCCCAGTTAAACCAGTAGCCTCCCTCAGTATGGATCATAAGGCTTACTGGCTAAAGTGGAACACACTTGGGGGACAGGAGATCTTAACTCTGCTCTACCACCCACATACTGCTCAGCAGCCGGGAGACAACCTCACTTCTTATGCTGCAATACTTCTCTAACTCCAGTAAAGATAATGTTCCTTTCCTTTCCAAAACGCTTTGGGCTGTGGGCAAACCTCCCTCAGCCTGGGCTCTCAGCAGGGCGGCAGCGGGAGCGTTTGCTCCTCTCCCTTGCACCGCCACAGCTCTCAGCTGCCCGCGGTGAGACCACCGACAGCAACGTCTTTTGTCAGGCACAAAAACCAGGAGAAAGGAGAAGAAGGTCAAAGCCTAGCTGGTGCAACAAGGCATCAGGACTGCCTGGAGAGGAGA